GTGATTCGATAAATTTGAAGGCAAAACCAGTGAGAATCTAAGCCAACGCACAGTAAAGTATCAGATTTGAGATGAAACTGAGCACGTTAAAAACAAATGAGTTGAAACTTCTTCCAAACCATGACAAAAATAATAAGTTATGTCATCAATTTGAACACCACGATTAATCAGCAAACTTTTACAAGAAAGTGCATTCAACAACAATTGCCAAGTAAATATTAGACACTTAAGAGAGACCTTCATTCTTCATATTCTTTGTAAGGCGTTTGTCATACACTGATCTACACTATTAGGACTACCAAACAGTTCAAATAGTCATAAATACGCAGATTGCACTAAATAACAACCTGAAGAATATGCCCTTCATACCTATTTATCTTCTTGTACTACCTTAATAAAAACTCCATCTACAAGTTCCAACAAAAGATTAAAGCTTGAGATCTCATGTTGAAAGAGTCCTCTTCGCTAACTAACATCCCAAATATACCTAGTGTCATCATGAAAACCATTCTCCAACACACAAGATTCAACATTTCTCGTCACCGCAAATAATCGCAGAAATGTCTCACACAATCGCACCCCACCTACCCACTTATCTCTCCAAAAAAGAGTGTGCAAACCTGCACCCACACTTCTATCCAACTTTTCATCTAGCAACGAATTCCCTTGATGAATAACCTCCAACAAATCACGCCACCAAAAAGAATATCTGTTGTGGACTGATTGGCGCTGAATAGAAGAAGCTAATCTGCCATACCTAGCTTCCAACACCTGCACCCATAATAAACTAGAACAATTAACGCCTCGCCACAACTATTTACTAAGAAGCGCCCAGTTAAAACCACTGGACTTTCTTAATTCCCAAGCCACCATTCTTCCGCAGTCTACAAACTGTGTCCCATTTCACCCAGGAGATTTTAGATCTATCCTTAACACCTTTCCATAAAAACTTTCCGTTGGATAGTGATAATCTCCTTTATCACCTACTTCGGTGCCTTAAAAAAAGATAATGAGTGCAATGACATAGAATTAAGAACAACATTAATTAAAGTCACCTTACCTCCAATCGATAAATACCCATTCTTTCATGATGTCAATCTCTTTTTAAGAGCTTCTAACACACCCTTCTATGCACTAGGCTTCCTTGAGTTAACACCTAACTGTATTCTGAGATACTTTAATAGGAAGCTATTAATCTTACAATGTAGGAATTCCGCAGCCAAGTTTTCAAAGTCATCTCTAGTGTTAATCCCCAATACACAACTTTTATAAAAATTAATTTTCATACCTGACATTAAATTAAAGCTATGCAATACTGCTTTCAAAGTCCACAAGTTATGAATCGAAGCCTCTCCCATAATTAGCGTGTCATCTGCAAACTACAGCAAAGAAATATTCAGTCCCCCTACTCCAATCTTCACACCAGAGAATAACTCACAAGCTACTACCTTCTGCATAAGAACTCCTAACCCTACTGCTGCTACAAGAAAAAGAAAACGGGCAAGAGGATCCCTTTGTTTTAGGCTCCGCTCAATATGAACCTCCAATGTAGGATAACCATTAATCAAAGCTGACAGACTACCTCCCACACAATTTTAAACATTTAAAAGTGATTTTTAAAAATTATATAATAATTTAAAAGTGATTAATCAAATGTATATTCTAACTAATTACAATTTCTAAAGTAAAAGACATCAAACTTAGTTAAAAAAAAAAACTTAATCTTATCTTCAAAATACACTTGATTTTTACCAAAAAAAAAATTATTTCATATTTTTACATTTTATCTTACCTTCATAAATTGAATTCAATATCAATGTTAATATTTCTAGTATAATTTTTTAATTCTAACTATCTTAATTTATATATTATACTTTCTTACGTAATATATCAATTTTTATATAATTTTACAAAAATTATTAAAAAAGTATTTATTGTTTTTGAAATGTAAAATTATATTATTATTCAAAACTTTAAAAAATATATTTTATTACATGAATGAATTTTTAATATTTTTTATCATGATATAATTAAGTTGTTTTTACTTTATCGACTTAAAATGTCATTAATTGATCCTCGTAGTGTTATCTTTATCAATTATATCTTTTATTCATAAAAATTTATAAGTATATTTATCTTTTTAAAATATAATAAAAAATATTTGTCATATATGAATTTTTTTTAGTTGTTATTAATTAGAGTTATAATTTTTTTTATTAATCTATCTATTCACTGAATTAATAAATTCCATATCTATTAATATGTATGATAATAGATCATTAAATAATGATCTTTAACTTAAATATGAGTTTGTAATCTCTTAAAAAGATTTATAATTAATATATTCAGAAGATATTCTTGTTGAATATATATATTTTTTTTAAAAAATTTGGGTCTTTTGTGAACTACACAATACATGTTTTAAATTTTGTTAAAATTAAAGTTAAACTATACTTAAAACTTTTATATACGTATATTTTTATTATATTTTGGTTCTTGTGTTTATTAAAACACAAAAAATATTATATAAAACTAAAATGTAAATATTTTTAAGTATAAAGATTAATTTATAAATATATGATTAATTATAAAGGTTAAATATATAATTTAATCTTTATTTTAAAACTAATATTTATAAGGTTTGAAATGTTAATAATACAAGTAAAAATTTAATCTAATAATACCTCTGCCAGTTCAATTGGAGTAATGACACAACAACCATATCCTCAATTTCCTTATGTATAGAACACTTTTGAGTTTAATTTTTATTTGTATTTGTTATCATGTTTGTAAATGCATATATGGTCATATGTCATTAAATTAAGCAATGTAAATGAGCTAAAATCATTAACCGGACGATAGAATTTCATTTTGACCAAATACAACTTCGTGGTTAATAGATAACGGTTACAACTTTCAAGAACCAGGATTTGATCACCATTTGAAAGGTAACAGCTATCAATAATGTAAAATACAAAGTGGGAACATTGTAAAAGTCCTTCATGGTTATGCTCCAATATTTTATTATTTTTTATGTTGTAATATTAGCGTATAAAAAGGCCTTAGTGTCTTGCATGTATCAGATTGAATATCAGGTTAAACTATAAAAAGTGATAATAATTTATGTTCTTCTTTTCTTATGCTTTCATTTGTGTGAGGAAGAAAAAATATCAAGAGAGATAATGTCAAATTGATATTTCATTATAAGAGTTTGATTGAAAGAAAGATATTTAACAACAATTAAAGTTAACAAGAGGAATTGATGGTAAGAGAGTAGATTCATTTCATTAATTTTGTTACAAGAGTGTGATTGGAAGTCTCAAATATGTAACAAAAATTAAAATAAATATTATTTTTGAAGTAAAATTGTTAGTAAAATTATAGAAGAACCTCACATCACTCTTTTATAAATAACAAAGAGAATTCTAAAATATACTAAAAGAAATATAAATATAAAAAAATATGTCAAAATATGCATTTTATCTTGAAAGTAGTGTTGTATCATAATCATAAAATCAATTGTTATACTTTCTACCGTTGAAGCAGGATATGTAACATCAACTAATCGTGTAATAAGTATTTTATTACTCTATGCAAAAATCTAATTTTTTATGGGTGGTTCAAGCATATAGATATTTAATTTTGTAAAATTCAAGAGTTAGTAAATAAAAAAGAAGTGGAGATTAATTATTGTTGCACTGAAAATTAAATTATAAATATTTTTACAAAATCATTTAAAATTGAGTTATTTTATAAGTTGAAGAAAATATTTAGATGATAGCAACATGATTTAAGGGAGGCAATGTTAAAGGTCATTAAATCAAGTAATAATAATGAATAATGAATTAAAATTATTGACTAAATGCAAAAATTTTATTTTAACCAAATACTACTCCATGGTAAAGAGATAATGGCTACAACTTCCAAAAGCCACGATGTTTAATTACCACTTGAAAAGTAAGAACTAACAATAATATTGAAATGCAAATTGGAGATATTTTAAAACCTTTCATGGTTAAGCTTCAATATTTTATTTTATTATTTTTATATTGTAATATTAGCCTATTAAAAGGCCTTAGTATACTACATGGATCCTGTTGAATTTGATGTTGAACTATTATAAGTGATAGTAATTTCTGTTCTTCTTGTCTTATGCTTTCATGTGTGAGTAAAAAACAAATATATTAAGAGACATATCACATAATGTCCAATTGATATCATATAAATATAATGTCATATATACCTTTTGATGGTATTAGAAATTCTCTTGCTTCACCAGCTATCTTTATGACCTCTTCAACATCTGCTTTAGCTACTAAAAAACTATTTCTTCTCTACGAATTCTAAGAACGTACTTGAGTTCAACAACATTAGACCTAATTGAGTTCAACAACACTGTCAATCTTCTTTATTAAATTAAATGGTTCATAGTTACAAATTATTTTTCGTAGTACAAATAGCTTTGGTCTTGCTCCTAGCCTTTTAAATACTAGTTAACACTCTTAATTATTAATTAAATTTTATTAAAAATTACAAAATCACACAAGTCTTCCTCATTTTCACTAAAAGTGTATTAGAGTACAAAGTCCTCTTTAACTTAGTCTTAAGTGAAATGACTACAAAGGAGAAATGTAGATGAAAAATGGTGAGATAATTACAACTTCCGTCATTTGGTTAAAGCACAAAAGTGACTAAAATTATGTAAATAATGGTTTATAATCTATAATTCAAAACAAAATATATAAATGTAGATACTATTATTTTATTATACAAAAATAATAATTTAAATTAAAAAATTAATTTATCCATAATTTTCATAGAAAATATCATTTATAAATATTACGTGATTTGACATAACTGGGTGGGCACAGACACACTGGGTTGGTCTTCTTTATACTTGAGAAACATCATGTAAGCTTTATCCAATTTCAACCTTACATTTTCTGAGTATCCGGGTTTTAATTCACATTAGAACGAAATAAAAGCTCCGAAATTTAAGTGAAAGGTACACCAAAGATGGACATTATAATAATCTTTACAAAAAGCAAGGAAATTGTGCAACTAAAAGTCAAAGTATACTTATGGATAACAAAATGTGCTTTTAAGGAACAGCGTACTTTACATGGAAGGAAATTTTTCTAGAGTTCAAGGTTAAAGGGAAAGAAAAATAAAGGAAAGAAGATTCCCCTCATCTTGTGTGTGTTCTGTTTATTCCATCAGGCAAAAGATCTATCGTGCGCCGCAAAGAAGTTAAATCATACATTTGGTGGTGGCCAAATTTTTCCCAATAAATTTTCCACCCGCTTTGCTTGATCAGCATGGCCATCCAGTCCAGCAGTCAGAAGCTGCACAGCTGCAGGCCCCATGGCTTTTGCAAAGCTATCTTCGTCCCATTTAGTAAGCTTAATATAATAAGTGTAAACTTATTAGTAAAGCAATCCAATTATTTAGCACATCTGACAAACTCCAGTACAAGAATAGCATTTTATACTCTCCAGCTGAATATTAAGGTAGCAAAAAAACACTAAATAGACATTAGTTTGACATACATGATATTCATAATTTATAAATGGCAGGTGACACTGGCATTTTCTATTACAATGTCAATGGTATTGATAAATGGCAAGCGAGGGAAGCTATGATGGGCTGTTTTCGATTTTCCTGAGCTTCTTGATAGGAGATTTAATACCTTGTTGGAGTAACAACATAGCATGCAACATAAGGTTTGAATTTGTTCTACACCTAATTGGGTCTCGATTTTCCATTTATATGGGTGAGAAAGGGCCAAAGGGCATGCATGCCGTTATGTTTAGCAATTATGAGAGGGACATATCTTGGTACCAACTTAATTTTGCAGTTTCAAGTTCAACTAAAACTCCTATTTCATAAAGGGGAAAATCAAATGACATTCCAGGCTGAAACCATACCTCTTCATCCCTAAACATGTACTTGGCAGCAGACTGAGGGGATAACCTCCTAACAAAAGAGTACTTCTCATCAGGAGAAGCAACAGATTCTTTGAGAGACTGCAATACTTTCAACGGAGCTATGATATAGTCAACCCTAGACAAGGAGAGAAAAGAAAAAAATAAAAATAAAATTGATAAAGTATCGTACAAATCAAACTTAAATCAGGTAGTAAATTGGACATAATTATTGAGATATCTTTGAATACCCGAGAAGACTAAATAGGTCTTGCTTGTTGCGAACTGCAGCGGCCATCAACTTTGACTTATGTCCATATTTGTGAATATAATTGTAAGCTTTAGTCACCTGAAATAATAATACTGATTTCAGACACAGGCATTTTTAGTTATTATTATATATTTATAACTATTTTGAGCATAGATCTGCTTCATGGGTGAACCAAGCTTTTTACCACATGTATACCAATATTGCTGACTTAAATTGGGATGACAGAGATGTATCATATCTCTGTTTCTACATTTTCACCACGAGTTTTATAAGTTTATTTTCACAAGTAAACTCATATTCTAGGAATAGAGCACGAGAATGAACAGAAGACCAATCTGGAAGAACAGACCAATGCCAAGCCAGGGTCCTCTCCTCGTAGCTGGACAGATTCTATCTCTGGGTCATCGGAATGATTACGTGCCCAATCCTGAAAAATTACAAATTTAAATGGGATGGGATACCCTAATACATGTTATCCAACACTTCCAATATAAATATAGATAAATATTACCCTTAAGCGGCCAACAAAAATTTGAATAACAGAAGCACCAGCTTGAGCAGCAGCAGCAGCTTGAGCAAAGCTGAAGAAATAGAACCAACACATAGAAAGATTAAAAATAAATGAAATATAAATTGCTAAGATCAAATGGAATAAAGCATTGCCACTAGATCCTAGGATTCAAATTTGGATGTTTGAACATTGAACAAGAATTGGGAAAATTTTCACATCAGAACTTCAGCAGTTGGTACCCAAACCTGTGGTATTTTGTCATCGTAAATCATTCCTTTTTTCTTTTGATGCAACAGAAAGCAGAAATGCAGAATATTAAACAAATTTCTAATTACAGGGTATGAAGTAATGCTTCATAGCATAAGCTATCAGATTAGTGGTCCAAAGTCCAAAAATGTAATGATTGTAGTTCTAGTTCTAACAATGACTTCAACTCAACATGCTTTTTGAGGATAGATTCCCCCCACCCACGGATGATATTACAAAGAAAAAGACAATGCTCATGATTAAATCAGAACCACACTAGCTAATGTTATAAGAATTTTAAATTTAACATCTATAATTATAGTAATGGAATTTCTGTCATTTTTTTCCAGTACATGTTTTATTTTGCTATCTATGGAAATATGATTAGAGCTTTCTATAAACTTATATATTCTAAAAGTTCTGTTACAGGGGTAGCTTTTGATGTATCATTTGAAGATTAGGATTGCCGTATATTTCCAAACTCCAAACTAATATGTATTTAAAACCTCAACCAATTACAAACTGGTTAAGAATTGTTTCTGCTATGGAATAAATATATCTGATAGCATATTTTGATGGACAAAAGAAACAAAAGATCATCCTAACACAGATGTCACTCTTGGTATTGAAAAAAGGGAACAGTAAAACTGTGCCCTTGAGAATAATGAACATAAATGTCAAGTGAATAAAAGCTATTATGAATACAGTTAGCAGAAAGTAATATCTATGTTCAATAATTTGTATACTAGTTGAAAGGAACAAAACAAAATATCAATGTTACCATCAGATTATTCCTGAAGTGAAGAGATAAATTAGCAATATATCAAAGAGCATTCAGGATAGAAAAAATTATGTACTACCAATGACCCAAGCCTTTAACTAGTATAACTAAATGACATCCTTCATGTATTAACCTCAACAGTTTTCTGTGAAATATTTAACAACCTGTAAACAAAAGTCAAATGTGTTTGTATGCCCTCAGATTCCAGCAATCTAGCAGCCTCTATTCCCTAAATGAAAAGCAAACAAGCTTATTATCATCAGTACATTAAGTAAAGCATCGGTATTGCTCTATTCAGCTGGCACCACAATTCTGTTTTTTAGATTACCCACTTGCCACGTTGAAGGAATTTTAAACAACAGACGTTGAGGAGGGACATTATTATCATTGTACAACTTCAGCAGGTCATGCACCTGAAAAATTTAATAACAGTTGAATCAGATTTTGCCAAGGCACAATATATGCATGTTTTGCCAGGATTGATATTTTAACTGCGCATAGCATTAAGGATTCACTTTCTAAACAGATTAAAAGCCATTCACTGTCAAAAACTTCAAATCATTCACACAATGTAGAATTTACACACACACACACACAGATAAGGATGCACAATCAACTAAAACTGTTGTTTCCCTACATCTGGTGTCAATATCGTAACTGTTTCTTTAATAATTTACCACTTACTCAAGCCTAAGGTAGATAACTTAATGTGAAACTTTTAAATCTGAAACATTAAAAGGCTTGGCACCTCTGAGAAAGAAGGCATTGAACCTTCAAATGTATTTAATATTATAATCTATGCTTACAGAACCAAATACCTTCCTGATAATCGCATGTGTGTCATAAGCAAGGCGCGCATCCACTTCGGTAGAAACACGGCCAGGGACAAGCTTTGCCATGTCGCTACCAACATTCACGAAAGCCTACAAATTCAAGATTAAAACCACAAACCAACCAATGTCAGAAACAAGCCTTTGAAGCTATCACTAAATCAAAATTAAAAAGAATTAACATAAATACCTTGTTGACAAAACAAGACAATCGTGCATTAGGATTTTCAAGTCCATAACACTCAGAATCAGCCAAAGCCATATCTACAGCATTCTACACAATAATAATAATAATAATAAGTGTAACTAATTCAGTTAAAAAAGAAGAAGCACGAGTTAGGTTTTACAAAGACGAAAATGCTGACCCTAAAAATGGTGTCTGGAAGGCCACATATTCCCAAGAGAAGCGATGAACTGACAGTAGCAGCAGTTGGAGGAAACCTGTAGCGGAGGTTCATTAATATATCAGAATAAACATTGATTCGAATTGCATAAGCGAAGAAAGAAGAAAAAGAAATGTTACTTTTCGAAATCATCGAAAATGACTGTGTCCGGAACGATCTCGCTGAAGGCGGATACAGCATCCAATTCAGTGGTGGAAACTGCAGGCAAATTAATTAAAGAAAATGGAAATTGTGAAAATAAGAGAGAGAGAGAGAGAGAGAGAGAGAGAGAGAGGTATATAAATAATAAATACCAGTGTCGATGGAGGAAGAGGAAGCACGAATTTGAGGGAGGGAGGAGTGGAAGTTGCTGTGGAGAGTAGAGGGAGGAGTAGAACGGAGCGACAAGGGGAAGAAGGTGGATCTTCTTGTTCTGTGAATTGCAGCGGAGAGAGCTGCAGATGGCGGAGTTTGCAATGTCAGTGACATTTCTGGATTCGAGATTAAGACGCCAAACTCAGTCACACTCATTCTTACAGTTTCTTAATTAGTAACGGTAATAGCCTAGATCCAAAATCCTCTCACCAACAAATTACTTACTCGTCACCTATATACTTGTTTGTTCGATCCCCACGATCTACGTTTCATAGAATAAAATTTACGCCAAAAATAAGATCGACAAAATAAAGGTAAACTATAAAATAATCATATTTATTAATTCAATAAATATAAAAATAAAATAAATATTAAATGATATTATGTCATGTTCTTTTATTATATCCGCAAAATAAACTTTTATGTCAATCGAAGATGATGAACAAGAAGAAAATTTTAACACTTGAAGATGATGCTTCAGTACTTTTTTATGTGAGTTATTAATGAAATATTTTTCTCTAGATTTTAAATATCTTTTATAGGAAGTAATTTTGTTTAAGTAGAATAAAATTATTAATTAAAGAGATCCCATACAAATTAATCTATGTATTAAATGGTGCAGAAATTAGTAATAAGAAAAATCATAATTAATCATAGAATTACATGTTTTGTTTTAACTATGTATACGGGGATTAATTAATTGAGATTTGAGTATCCGAACAATAGAATGATTGAAATATAAAAAAGTATAAGTTATAATTAATTATAGAATTACATGTTCCTCACCAATAAATTAAGTTTATCTTAGTTGATATTGTTAAATTGTCGCATAAAGTACAACTGAAATATAATGCTTTGAGGAAACTTCGAGTAATAAATCACATAAAATCACGTTTCTTTTATAAAGTAAAAGTTAATTTCAACCACGTCTTTTAATTTCTTTTTACTCAATATTGTTTTTTTAAATTTTTGTTTTCGTATCATGTTTATTATTTTGCTGTAATGGTGTTAATAAAGTTCAGTGTTAGTTCATCATAATCTCGTTAGAAGATTGAGTTTTTGGCCCAATAAACCAAGTCATTTTAATCTATTTAATTTTTTATACATAGGTAATAAAATACAACAAATTTTTATGGTAAAAATTGCACATCAATGGTAAGAAAAGGGTCTCGAAAAATTTGATCATTCATTATGAGAATATGAAAATCTCGTGTTTGAAGCCAAAAGGCAAAAAAAATGAGTTATGAAAAATAATTTAATATGACCTCTCATTTTAATTACTAAAATTGGTAAAAAAATAAAATTGATCAGGTAAAATTGGTAAAAACTTTGATGTGGTGGTTGCGATTCCGAAGCATATAATAAAATGTTAAAAATTGAAATTTGAGAAAGACATTCCTCATGCATATATGGGTTATCTTTGGATCACTCATTTTAACATATGAAAAAATAAATAAATTGGTAGAATAAAAAAATTCCGTTATCTTAATCTATTTAAAATTTTCATGTTTAGATCACGAAATACAACAAGTTTTAAGAGTAAAAACTATACAACAAGAAAAAGACTCAAAACATTTAGAATATGTTCGTTCACATTTTTAAAAAAAGTTTTGTTTTTTTAAAAATTAAAATTACATGTATTTTTTAAAAAGAAAAAAATATTTTTAAAAAATTGCAAACAAACATATCTTTAATCATTGATTGCTAAAATATGAAAATTTTGTATTTAAAACTAAATAGAAGTGTCAAAAAGTTTAATTGACTCAGTCTTAACCCTAACCTATGTGGATTAGGGCCAAAAAGTCTTACAGGCTAAAAAGCCCAATAAATAAAAAATTTTATAGACCAAAAAATCCATAAGGCTATGATTAAGGTCAGGGCTTTAAGGGTAAAAAAATTCTAACAATTACAAATTTTTAACTTATTTTTAAGATGATAAAGCAACTAATAAAAAAGAAAACTCAACACATTAAGTCTTGATAGATTCATACTTCACATGCTTGTTAGTCTTCAACATCTTGTTGCATACTAGACTCTAGTGTTTTTGTCTCACCATTATCTAAAACTTAAAAACAATAAAAATAGAATTATGTTTATACAAATTATATAATAATCATAAAAGGTGATTGTAATAAATATTACTATTTAGACTTTCAACAAAGCCATACAATCAACTCCTAGTACAAATTAATATTTGTACATTTTCTGGAAGTGTAGAGCTTCTATATTTAGTAAGAACATGTCCATCAATACTAAAAGCAAATTATGATGCTACCGTAGTGATTGAAATACTAAGCACATTTCGTGCTAATATAGAAAGTGTTGAAAATCTCTTTTTATTGTTCTTCCAATAATGAAGCACATCAAATTCTTCAGTATCATCATAATCAATTTGTGATTCATCAAAATACAAATCAAATTCACTCTTACCAATTGTAGACTTAGTTTCATTTTGAAACATTTTAAACTCCTGCAAAATATAACATAATAACCATTTAAACAAAATGAAAATAAGAAACATACCATAATTAAAATGACATAAAAGAACATACATTAAACAATCTTGATTTCTTTGACCTATTTCCATTTTCATGTGACTTTGGCAACAAATTGGATTCATTGGAAGGTTAAGAGTCACTTGTAGCATTAAAATTGTTTACATATTCTCCAAAAAGTTTATCAAACTTATCCTTCGCATTGTTGACCTTCTCATGAGAGGTTAAAGGATCAAGCTTGGTGTAGCAGAATCTTAAAAAATCAAGCTTTAAACGAGGGTCAAGAATAGCTCCAAAAGCTAACAACACACAATAATTCTTCTAATATTTTTTGAATTTTCCTTTCATTCTTGCAGCTATATCCTTTATAACATCATTCTCGTTCAATAAATATTCATTCAACAAACATTCAATCTTTCAAACTTGTATAAAATATAAGTTTGAAATCAGATAACAAGAACCATAAATCATATTTGTAATATCATAAAATGGCTCTAAAAATTCACATAATTTCTCTCTTTTCCTCCATTCTTCATATGATGGACAATATTTATAATTCCTATCAACCACATGAAGAATATCAAAAGTTTTTTCATACTAATCTTAACCTAGCAGAAACATCTAATCTTAACCCAATTGTTGTGTCTATTCTAGCATCTTGCACACAATCTTAAAATTTAATCATCCTTCCATCAGATCCTCTCACATACTTAACACTCTCTCTAATTTTAAATAGTGCTTCATTAGCTAATTTTAGACCCTCTTGTATAATCAAATTGAGTATATTAGCATAACAACACACATGAAAAAAAAAATTCTCCATCAAACAACAAACTATTCTGCACATGAAGATGATTTTTCAAAATATCTTACATATTGTCATTGGCAGAAGCATTATCTAAGGTAATAGAATTTATTTATTTTTATCAATTCCCCATTGTTTCAAGTAATCAAATAAGTGGCTTCTAATTCAACTCCATTGTGAGATGTTTTTATTCGAAAAAAAAAATTAAGAATCTTACTTACTAATCTTCAATTCTCATCAACAAAATGAACAGTTAAGCAAATATAACTCTCACTCGTAGGTGTTGTCCAAACATCAGATGTGAGACATACTCTGTTAGGAATATTACACATGACTTCTTTGAGTTTTTCTTTCTCTCTCATGTAAATTTTTTGAACATTTGACATAACAGTATTCCTAGAAAGCATTATAACATTAGGATTCACATAATTGATCCACTCTTTGATCATATCATACTCCACAAAGTTGAAAGGAAGATTATGTTTGATTATGACTTATGCAAGAATGTTACGTTAGTCTTTTGGTTAATATTTCTCGCACCAAAATTTACATCTTGAGTAAGAATTGCATCTACACTTGAACTTTGAATGTTTTTATAAACTGAAACATGTCGACTTAAATGTGAAGTTTCATAATAAATTTTTGTCTTGAAATTTTTTCTAATAGCATAATCATAGCCACAATATTTGCACACAGCTTTTTCAACTCCACTCTTATCTACACCATTTTTAGTAAAATATTTTCAAACATTTAAAAATTATTTCTTAAGTGTCTCTACACTTTTTAGATAATACATGAGGAGTTTCAAAAACAACTTTATCATTTATATTCACAGTCTTATTCATAGAATCCATAATATAATTTATAGTTCCTATGCATTAAAATAAACATAAGATTAAAATTAGAACAAACACATTTAAGCAAAATCTATTATAAAAACTATATCAGTAGATTATTATTTTATGAAATTATGAAATTCTGCGAAATCTATATCTCTCCACACAAAATTTATTATAAAAATTTTCATTCAAAGAAACATAACAATAGTTTTCTATTTTAGACTGAGACAAGAAAAGAATCTTCAATGCAATTTGACAATGTAGGTAAATCTAACAATTGCACAAAAAATATTAAATAAAGTATAAATATAATTAATTTTTTGCATTCACTTCAAACATAATCAAGCACTTTCACTTTATTATACAGAGTTTTGCTTCAATTATAGCTCCATCAAATAGATTTGAAACCTCCTACAACAATCCCAAAATCTTCAGATATAACGCTCTACCAAAATTCAAGCTAAGTCAACATTTTTAACACTTTGAAATCTCATTTGAATCTAGGTTTACACATATTTTCATCACTCTATGACAACATGTGCATGGTATGATAGACATCATGAAACTTGTTTAATTGATAATACACAGACAAACACAATATAAACCTAAAGAATACTTTAATTAAAAGTCAAGTCAACAAGAAATAAGCATATAAAATAGTTGGATCCAACATATAATCGGGAAAGGGATAAAAAATTGTAAATTGTAGTATCTTAACAAGGATAGTAAGATCCTACTAAACACAAAATTATACATAAATCAACATATCAAATATGTGTTTACAATATATATAAACTCCTAATTTATATAACAGAAGATCAATTAAACCAAAAATAAACACAAGTCATGCAAAGATAGAGGGGAAAATATAAAAACAACAATGCAACAAACATCATATTATGATGCAGACAAATGTGTTGTTTTGTTTCTCTAGTTTATGGTTATAACATTAAAATTGCCCCATCAGAATTTCCACAAGAGTGCTAAGAATTACAAAATAAAGTAACCATTAACAATCAAAATGGCAGAACAAACACATGCAATGCATATAGAAAAACACACCAACTCAAAAGCATGAGCAACCACAGAGCACAAACACAATAAAGCAAAGCAAAATGCATAAAATCTCAAATCTAGACA